CCCTCTTGGCAACATTAAGGTTTATTTTCTCATTATTTCATTTAATTACCCGTTTGATGTTTTATACAGCTGCCACAAGTAATCTTTGATCCAATTAGGAAATGCTGATTGACAGCATGGGTGTGGGATTCAATAAGCTGCATTCAATTTACCGTTGTGACCTTATCAGAGGATCTGCAGAGGATTCTGTGTTCAACATTGAATGCCAACTAAAAATATAATAATTTCCCTTAAGTATTCTGCGTGGATGGCACACCTTTATATGTAGACGTGTGTGTGTGTGTGTGTGTGTGTGTGTGTGTGTGTGTGTGTGTGTGCGTGCATGTATGTGTGCCTGTAAGTATTAGTCTGTAAGAGGCCAGCATGTGTTTTCTTCACCAGACATCTAACAATGAGGAATGAACACATTAGTGAGGAGAGGCCCCTGTACTCACCAGCCCCCACACTGCCCATTAATAATGCACTGCCAGGGAATAGATGGGGATTTGCAGAGATTAGTCCTGCATTAAGGACTCGCTTGCTATTTCCATTAGAGAGACATGTTGGTCTTTCTTAAACAAGAAAGATCAGCCCACTTGTAATTGGACTATAAAATCCTATATCAAAATTGTCAGTGTTCCCACAAAGGCAGCTGTATAATTTCCTTTCAATGTGAGCAGTGACCGAAGCCTGCAGGATTTATTATATATGTGGACATGGTGAATGCTGTTAGTATGAAACGAGGTACAATGAGGTTTTGTATTATTGCAACGACTCAAATACTCTGTGACAAGCATTTAAACCATTTTTTTTTTGGAGGCAGACACAAGTTGTGAACAAGACATATCAGCTGTAGGATTTAGTGCCATCTAGCGGTGTGGTTGCGATTTCCTCGCTTCACCCTCCCTTTCTAAGCTCAAATAAGAAACTACGTTGACTGCGAAATGAATTAAAAACATGAGCCCTATCTAGAGCCAGTGTTTGATTTGTCTGTTCTGCTCTACTCTAGAAACAGGGCAGACTCCATGGAAGGCAACCCACAGCATCTGAAGATAGTAATAGCTCATTCTAACATAACAAAAACACAACGATTCTTATTTAAGTGATTATACCTATGGCTATTATATTCTATTTCTGCCAATAAAGCCTCATAAATGTGGCCTTTAAAGTTGATATGGTAAACTTGTTAAAAGTTCCTTATTTACACATTCAGCAATAACTAATATTGCTCATTAGCATTCATTTGGAGCCATGTATCTGGCCATCTGGCAAATGTTAGTCCAATATTCACTCTCTCGACCAACTCCTGAAGAAAATATCTAGTTTTTAGCTGCTAAAAATCCACTATCACCAGCTAGTCTCTAACTGTGTCTGTTTGCCGTTTGTGTACAGTGAGTTTTTAGAGCTTTTCAACTGAATGTCCTTGTAAAAAACAGATATTAATTAGTTTGTGTTTCCTTATACATTTACTGGAAAATCTGGAGGGTGTATATAATAAACATAATTTTTGCTTTCTGAACCTCTTTCCAGAACATATGGAGCGTCCGACACTCCCACATACAAGGTACAGGTGAAACAGGGTACAGATTTCTTCATTGCATTTCATTTAATGCAGCGGTCAAGAATATAGGAGTGGTGTAATTTAACAGGATATAATGTAAGTCCTGATAAGCAACAGTTTGCATTGGGTATTTTACAGTTCAGACACTTTTTAAATAATAACTAAATTATTGTTTGTCTATAAATGAATGAATATGAGGTAAAGCAGGATTTGTAAAGATGAGTAAAGAAACACATTTAGCATTTACAAGTGATGATATGTGACATGTGACATGTGACATGTGACATACATTGAAAAATGAGGATATATGAACATATGGAGCATGGCATTATACAAGCAGAGCTATGATGTAGTGTTTGCATTAGCTGACAATCAATCATATTGCTGCAGCTGTATTAATGCCATCATAAAACACTCACTCTGCTGATACACTCATTCCAAACTAGGACCTCATCACTATGTGTTATATTTTGGGCATTGTTGATTTTTTATGTATGGGTTTGTAGTCCTGCATTCAGAATCCTAAGTGAAAGTACTAAGTATTGTCAGCAAGTACAGTTAAAGTACTCATTCCACAGGTAAATGGGATATATTATTATATGGTATTATTAAATTGTTAATACTGATGCAACACTAAGTCGCATTTTGTTGTTGTAGTGACTGGTTGGACCTAGTTTTAATTACTTTATAGACAGTTTAGTCCAGTAGTTCCAAATCTAGGGGTTTGGCCCCTTCAAAGCGTCACAAGATAAATCTAAGTGATCATGAGATAATTGATGGGGTTGAAAAATTTCTGCTGATTAAATTTATATATATCTATTGGGCTTTGTTGTAATCTGTAATTTGACCTTTTTCAGCCTCACTTTAAATTAAACCATCTAAGAAGAAATATCTCTTTGGTGGAACTACTAACAGGTCATAGACATCTGAAATTCAAAAAGGGGGCCTAACCAGACTAGACACTGAGGTCACAAGTCAAAAAGGTTTCGTAATGAACTATATTTTATAAACAAAATATATTTAGTGTAAAATCTGATCTGAAAATATAACTAGTATGACTAGTATATTGGTTAGATAAATGTAGTGGAGTAAAATGTACAGTATTTCCCTTGTATATAAGAGGAATAAAGTAGCATAAAATGAAAAGTACTAGTTCCTCAAAATTTTACTGAAGTACAATACTTGAGTACATTAAGTTACTTTGTAACACTGTCTGAAAAACTGTAGTAATAATTTGCACCAGTAATCTTCTTTAAGCCATCTTAATGAGTCTGTATGTCATTTCTGTTGAGCTGCACAGTCATATCTGTAATTGTGAATGTGATAAATGTTCTCCTGAAAGCAGAAAAAGTGTGACTCAAACCTATGATGTCATCAGCATTTGAACAATGAATCAGGGGTTAATTTCTCTGAAATGGTTGACGATTTGTTTTCCTTATGAGCCTAAAATGAGCTGTTAGGGTAATTCTAATAAAATATAAAATGAACACGGACCATGTGTGTGTTCCTGAATGTCAAAAAACATTTTTCAAAGCTTGCTGTTGTAGACACCAACCTTTCAGGGAGGAGCTGGTTTATATGAATTCACTCTGCTTTTAAAAATTTAACTTGAACCTTATTAAGTGTAAGGCTGAAAAGATCTGAACTGAAATTGATCCTACCAACAAGTATAGAACAAACATTGAACATCATATCCTGTGTGACCCCTTAACTGCAGTATGCTGAACTATGATTTCTGTCTGCTGTTACATTCCGATTGTGTACACAATTTAATCGGTGTGTGCGTATCAGTAATCTGATACAGAAACATTTTCTGGATATGAACATATAATGAGCTGCGAACAGATACAAATGACCTCCAAATTGGAACACTTGGGCATGTTGAATGGACTGTGTGTGATAAATGTTGTAGCAGAGCCTCTTGCCCCTGCAATCTGCCTCACTGTACTTTCTTATTCATCACTTTTATCATTTTACATTTAGATTTTGTTGTTTAAGTTGAAGAACGTACTGCCTTTGATTAGGACCTGTCTTGTCATTCCCAAAAGATAAAGGAAGAAGAAGGTTCATTTTCAGTTCTTCTATCAAAGTCTGAGAGGAATAGGAGAGACCAGAGGAACCCTGATGAATTTTGAGGAGAGGCAGAGATGTATTTTGCATCATATCCCCTGAACCAAACATGATAATACAGACAAGCTGATGTCTTCCCGACTCTGATACTCAAGGATTGGTACCATATACACCACCATCATAAACTGATCAACATTTAATCCTTATTGATCTTACTATTATAAAAGGGATGTAAGCTGAACTTGTTTTAGAGTCTCTTTTGGTGTATTGCTCCTGAAGTGAAAGCGCTGACCGCAGAGAAGCAGGAAACCTTCTTCTCTCTGCTCGTTAGATGCTGCCAGAAGGAGTTTCAACCAAATCATTGCAAGGATGTTAACAACAGCTGGAAGAAATGTGTAACTATCACAACCACCTGGGTTTGGGGGGAAGAATAAAGGCTAGTTGTAGCAATTTAATCAGTTCAGCTTATTTGATGAAGTACTTGCATTATTGCAATTGCAATTTTTGGGTTGTATCCCCACGGCTCATGACTGAATGCATGTAAGTCCCTTTGGATACAAACGTCAGCTAAATAAATGTAATGCAATGTAATGGCGAATAATGAATAATGATTTAACATGAAGTGAAAAAGTTCAATCTCATCCTCTGTCTGCTGATTTTGATTAGTAAATGATTTTGACTGAACTCTTTACATTTTCACTGTAGGTACCTGCCTGATGCCTTTAGAGCAACTTATGCCAAAAAATAAAGGAGAGCGTTCCCAAATAACTTCTCCTCACCTCTTTGATTTGTCAGTTAATCCAAAGTGGAGATAAAAGGCTCCAGCAAATAGCTGCAGACAGGGACTGTCAGTAATACCCTTTTCTGGGCCAGTCTAATAAAAGTTTAAATAGTCAAAAAAAAAAAGCTGCATAAAGATGAGGAGTGGGTGAAAACAGTTTTTCACAGTAACCATAAAAACCAAGAATTATTCTGAACATTTACTAAATGAAAAATAAAAGTTAAATACACAGGTGCAGTTTGTGCATGACATTCTTATCACTGACTAGGTATTACAAATGTGCATTCTGTGTGCTTAACATTTGTTGCTTGCTGGGTGTAACAGAAATGTCTTTTGTACCACATGATACAAACTCCAAATACAAACTCTATTTTCCAGCATCAATTTATCTGATACAATAGTGGCTATGTGTGCATGCACTCAGGCCACTTAATGTATGTCTTAGGTTGTATTAAATTCAGCATGTGACACTTATTAGGTTACATATTATTAAATACCATTATTATTATATAGTATTGGACCTGCCAGTGAATAGTGTCTGCTTTTGTGTGAGGGTGTACACCCTCACACTTTAAAGCCACACTCAGGCTGCCCCTCCTCCATCAGCTGATGACGGTATATAATGTCAACCCTGAGCTGGGCAGGAAGTGCATCTTGTGTTTAGCTGGAACATGAGGGGAAGAAGCGGTTTTATACAGCGCTATCGGGACAACAAACTAAGCTTTTGACGGTAAAGTAACCGTTTCAGACATGAGATAAGAATAATGCTGCGGGCGTATCTGGTCTGTTCCCGATTACCTCTGGTAACCAGGATGGTCGGCTGCTAATGCTAGCTAGTTTGTTAGCTTACTGTTATTATTGAGCGAAGTTGTGTGTGTTCGCGTTATGTGTTATGATATCCCACAGCATGCGTATTATGAAACATTTTATCAAATTAGTTTATAATTGACGCTTGAAATTACTACGTTTTACCAGCTTGTCACACGAAAAAGTCAGCTAATGACGCGAGATGGCTAGTAAGCTCTGGAAAAGCTAACTAACAGTTAGGTCTCGGTAGCAGGTTTTCCCCCAGTGGGTGCGAAACCAAACCTGATGGAAACTCTAACTCTCCTAATGTATCCTTGCTTTTTTGGCAAGGTGAATATCTTTCCTAACAAGGCTCATATTCTTTTATGAATCGTTAAAGTTCCCTTCTGACTTCGGCACACGTAAAACATGATATAACCAACAGCACTGGACTTAAAACCACTCAAAATGTACGTTTTGACATAAGATAATAGTTGGACTTAAATACGAAACAGTTACTTATATACAGAATATGTGCAAAGTGGTGTTTTAGATGACTGCCGAAATTAAGATTGGATATATATTCTTGGTTTGGATAGTTTATATCATGTTTTATGAAAAGATGTCTATGAGGGTATGATTTTAACCTAATTTGGCTTTTGATATCAGAACCCTGGCAACAATGCATAGTTGGTTTGACATATTAGTAACTAACTCTACTGACCAAATAAGGTTTTGATTACACGCCATACTGATGATTCTTTCACTTTCTCTTTGCTACCATTAAACAATGCCAGAAAAAGTGATATCACGACAGAGTATTTAATTTAGTTGAACATTACTGAGCTTGTTTTCTTATAACTTCTTACAGGGAAAAAAAAACACTGGAAGATGGACACTTATAGAAGAGGACAACCGTGGGGAAAGCTAGTCAAAGTGGACTCCAGTGAAACTGTCCTGCTTTTCAACAAGGAATGCACTGTTGGCAGAAAAAAAGGTGGGTTAGTCTCTGTATTTTATGGATTGAACAATACAGATTTGTCTTCACCTTAAATCTTATTTCATAAAACGTTGTGAAATTTTTTTTATCCTGCTTTATAAAGCTCTAAATGTGGTGATGGAAACAGACAAGACAGTCCCGTCTGTGGAATAGACTTTGCTGTCAGTGTCTGGAGGAGCCTTTAAAAACCTCCCCCTTGAAAACACAAAGACTTCTTTAGTGCACCAAACTTAGACAGCCCCTTGTGATGATAACAAAAGGCTTCCATTGAGAACATGTGTGCGGAATATTAAGTAGATTTTTTTTTTTTTGTATGGGTTTTGCTTAAGAAAAGGTTAGGCCTATATTTCCCCCTGTGTCTGCTTTGTTGTCGGGAGCTTTTGGGCTCCACGTTTTTGCAATGCAAAGTGACTAGCCTTAATTGGTTAGCTTATGTCTGGGTAGTGAAAGGTATAAAAAAACATCATTACAAGGTAAATCTTAATAGTACTTATTTTAAAAGATAGGCTGACAATCTTATATATGGCAACTATATTGCCATGTTGCTAGAATTGCTAAGAATTTGTTTTGGAATGGGTAGAGGTAGAAAAAAACACATTAAAATGTAAACACATGTTTTCATACTCTTGACAGATACATATATTACATATTAGTACCCAAAAGGGGTGCAAAAAGCTAAAATGTAATCTGATTGTGTTTTCATGGTGGTGCTTTATTATTTTCTTGCCAGGATGTTATCTGTCCTTTCCAGCCAACAAACTGGTATCAGGGGAGCACTGCAAGATTGTGCAAGATGAAAGCTCAGGGCTGGTGTGGCTTGAAGACATGAGGTACTGTATACTGAATATTCACCCATCAGTGAATTATAACTGCAGTACAAAACTAGAGCATCATGTGCTTGTGTCCTGGTGGACTGAGCTGAATAATGTATGTTCTGTGAGGCAAACATTTGAAATGTGTTTGAAAGGAAGACTAAACTTGTTTTTTCAGAGCTGTTCAAGTGTGAAACACATTTTAATTACATGCTTGTTTGTCTGTAGCACTAATGGCACAATGATCAACATGTCCACGGTCAAGAAACAAACTCACATGCTGCAGAGTGGGGATGTCATCCACTTTGTGTACAGGAAAAGTGAGCCAGAACAAAGTGAGTCGTTTTTTTTTTTTTTTTTTTGCCAAGAGAATAAAGTTTATATAAATCTATAACAAGGAAAGACAGACTACATCTTCTCTTGTCACCCTGTAGACATCGCCTATGTTTACCACTCAATCAAAATGGAGCAGGCTATTTCACAACATTATGGTAAGTAGTCGGGTAATTACCCACGACTCCTTTTGTTGAATGCAAGCACTTTTATTCCACAGCTATACTTTGCCTCACTAGTAACCCCCATCCTCTGTCTAAACTTCAGACATGGACAGTTCTGCCCACAGTCATGTTCCTGTTCCACCTTCAGAGATGTCACTCTCTGTGGAGCCTGTAATGCTCACAAAGGCTCCTCATGACCCAACTCAGGAGGAACCTCAGCCCTCCACCTCCACTTCCCACTTCTGCATCGGGAGTCCTACCACTTCTGGTCTCATGGCAACCACAGCCTGTCCTGCCCCTGGTAGGTTCTCTGCTAACACACTGCTGAAGAGGGGTCATCCATTGTGATGGGAGGGAGGACTTTTTCTTTTCTTCTTCTCTATCCCTCTGGAAATTCAGGGTGAATCATCTTCTATACATTCAACTTTATACATTTGCTATGTGAAGTTTTTATTAATTTATGTAGATTCATTTTTAATGATTGGGTGTTCTCAACCTTTCTGATTGTTAAAAAAAGATTTCTGAGTACCACCTTCCCGAGTAAATAGGAGGAAAAAAAACAGCATGACCAAAAATAAACTGGACTGTAAATATATGTTATCCCACTGTCAGCTGTAATGGCCTAAAATAAATATTCTGCTTACCCTCAGTGAAACTCTTGGGCTTACTACTGGGAGATAATGAGATCAAGTTGTGGTGGTATGGGCTGACGTGCAGAGTAACATTCAAAGTAGCTTTGAGTTTGTTCTTTGCCACAATGGAAAACCCTGACTCATAACTCTGGAGCTTCAGTGGTTTTAGTGCCTAATTTGACAGGATTTTACCACATTCAACTCACGGTGCTTTCGGCTCAGCGTCACTGGCTGCCATTTTGAATATATATACCTCACCACAGTTTGGAGCTTTTACAGGCGCAAGTTTGTTTTCATTTCAAAAACTGATCCATTTTGTATCACTGGTTTACACGTTACCTAGCTAACAGTGGCAAAACATGTTTGTCTCTACCTGAGGATGTGTCGGGATTGGAGTGATGATATTCAAACATAACTGTTAAATCATGCATTTATAATTAAACTTTTGTTATTTTTCATTTATGTGCATTCTTGAACATATTTAGATATGAAAATAACTAGTATTGTAAATTACCCAAAACAATTATTTTAAATTATAATCCAACCATTGTTCTGTGGTTAGCTTCTGGACTATTTCTTCTTCAAAAATCACAATATTTTCAATTCTTTCATCCTCCTGTCTTCAGTCTTTCTAAGCTAAGCAAACCGGCTCCTGGCTGTTGCTTCATGTTTGACAGATATGAGAGTGTTATCGATCTTCTCAGCAAAAAGGTGCATTAGCAGATTTCTCCAAATGTCAAATTATTCATTTTAATCACTCTAGTAGCAACATACGCTATGTTATATTAGCCTATGGCCTCAGCATACGCTATACTGGATTAACCCATTAGGAATTTTGATTGTCCAAAGTAGTGATGGTTGATATAGCTTTAAAATAATATAATATTGCATTAACACAGCATATAGAATGGTAATATAATCGTAATAACATAATTTCAGCCTCTGTATTTTTGGTAGCGACCGATTCAGGATTCACAGGATGAACAGACAGAGAGGCAGTGTTGTGGCAGATTACAGCTGATCCATACTGAACTTTAAACTAACTTCAAACTGTATAGAAGGTTTTTACAACATTGGGACATGCTGCACTGGTTAATTACCCTCAAAGTGATTTATGGTTGATTGAACTAAGCTCAGTCAGGTCCTGGTGTGAATCGTCTTGTGTAGTTAGTAGATTATGGAGTTTTGTGTTGTAGGGCCTCTGCTTTTCTTCTCTAATGGTTAATATTATCAAGCTCCTTTACCAGAACAACTACAGAAATTGCTCCTTTACCGGAACTAACTCCTCCACAGTGACACCAGTAGCAACCTTCACATTTGCTTTTAGCCATGTGTGTGGCTGCTGTAAACAGTCATAATGTAAACCACATTGCAATAATGGTTTGCTATGACAAATTTCTATTACATAAAGTTGCATACCAGTACTATTATGAGCAATATGATATGATACACCCCACATCAAAGTATTTTCAACAAAATTATTTAATCATCTGTGTATGTTTTTGAAAAAAGCAGTTTGAAGTCCTAACAACATTATTTGACCTATCTCTGTTCATTCATCCTAACAGGCCAAGCTAAAGACGCTTCCCCGGCACAAGAAAAAGACACAGACAGCATGGAGCCAGAAAACAAGAGGAGGAAAACTGATGACGGTATTAACCTGTTTTTTTTCTTGATATATCACATTATTTTTGTGGCGGTGCAATGACCAGCATAAGCAACATTCTGATTTTGTATTTTCCCGCCCTCCAAATGTGTATGCCTTTGGCTGCAAATTATTGTGCTGTGTGTTCATGTTGTACTGCTTGGCACCAGAAAACAATATAATGTCCTGTAGGACCTGATTACTACTAAACAACTAATGTTGTAGTGCTTCACTGTGATTGGCACAGTCTGATGTGACTGGCTGAGAGTGTATTTATTCATCACCAGCACAGACATGAACCAGTCCGAGTGAACCACACTGGCCGTTGTGCTTGCATGAATAAAATGGGGCCCATTGTGTCTGACCAGAGCTTTACTTAAAGCTTTTGTCCAAACCCCAAAAACTTCTTTTCAACTTCAAGCCAAACCAGACAACTGCCATTATTATTATTAGCATGTAATATACAGTTATTGTTTACAGATAAAGATTATGATTTGGGCCTGCCACACACCTCCAGTACAGAAGTGGTCGGGTCAACTAAGGGAAGTCTTGGGAGTCTTTTGTCTAAACCACCAGTGGAAGGGGCTAAGACAGACAAGATGGAGGAGAGCCTGACATGTGTTATTTGCCAGGACCTACTGCATGACTGTGTAAGGTAAGATCTCAAGGACTGTGGCATTCAAACAGATATCTAAAGTCAGGGGCTTGAATCCTACTTTGTGGTCCTGTAAGACACTTTGTACGTCCACTTAATGTCAACAGTGTGCGAGTTTGACTCTAAGCCTCTTGTTTTTGCTTTAGCTTGCAGCCTTGCATGCATGTCTTCTGTGCTGCCTGCTACTCAGGCTGGATGGAGCGTTCTTCTCTTTGCCCCACCTGCCGCTGCCCCGTGGAGAGGATTCGTAAGAACCACATCCTCAACAACCTGGTGGAGGCCTACCTCATTCAGCACCCAGGTTTGCACAGATAAAGATTGAATTTAATAGAATCTTTTAATCATGACACACTTGCACTTCATTTTATTATAAATGCCAGCACCTTTATTGCCTTCAGCTGAAAAGATTCAGGGGAAAATTACATATAGAGCTTTTTAAAATTGTCAGCCAAATGTAGCTGTGGCTGACCCTGTCTGTATACGTTTGTGTGTCCACTTCTGTCCCACAGAAAAGTGTCGCAGTGAGGAGGACCTGAAGAGTATGGAAAGCCGTAACAAGATAACTCAGGACATGTTACAGCCAAAAGTTGAGCGCTCGTTCTCTGATGAGGAGGGCAGCTCAGATTATCTCTTTGAGCTCTCTGACAATGACAGTGACTCTTCAGACATTAGGTAAAATGTCTAATTGTTTGTATTTGTTGGAAACCAGTTTTAATCTTGATTTAGTTATTCTTTTAATGAAAATATATTAGTTTTAGTAACATTTTAATCATAAAAAAACAAACGTTTTAGTTTTCATCTGTGAAATTTTTGTCTATTTTTGGTCACACATTCTGAACAATTTGAGTCTTTGTAGTGTACAGTTACTATGGTTACAGGTGTGGTTCTCGTCTATTCCAAGTTTAATAGAAAAGGCACTGGTACACAAGTGTGACATACACAGTAATGATATCTGTTTGAACAGAACCGCTCACACTCTGTTATTTTGCTCAACTAGCATTAGCATTACTAAAGCTACTTGTTTTCTCCACTGCAGAAGAGCCAATCATTCAGAAGCTGGATTAACTCACTTCACTAAAATATTTATCGTTGTCTGGGTTTAACTTGAGAGTAGAATTTAACTTGGAGCGGCTGTGACTCAGTGGCAGAGCGGGTCAGCCACTAATCGGAAGGTTGTTGGTTTGATCCCTGGCTCCTCCCGCCACGTGTCGAAGTATCCTTGAGCAAGATACTGAACCCCGAATTGAATTGTGTGAATGTTTATGAATGGGTTAGTTCCTGTTCAATGGACTTTGCTATCACTGAGTGAATTTGTGTCAAAGGGCGAATGTGGCATGTAGTGTTAAAGCGCTTTGAGGGGTCGGAAGACTAGAAAGGCGTTATACAAGTACAGGTCTGCCATTTAGAAGCTAAAACATCAGATAATGTAGTGATAATTCTTTAGCAAACATCTAGAGGAATATTTTAGATTGTTGACTGCTAATATTAATCCTGGAACTTACTTAGTTCCATGTTGCTATCAGAAGAAGGAATGAGACTGAAAGTAACCTTAACGTTACATCCACAGTACCTGATAAAGTTACATTAGCTTAACTTTTAAAAAAAACGTCAGTGTTCTGCCTGCCTTTTATTGTAGTGTGTCCCAGCTATTTTGTTGACACATCTAATTCTCAGGGAGACTGTGATGAATTTAGTCCATGAAGACTTTTTTTTAATGCCATAAACAAGAATTAACACTGTAGGAAGTGGAGTATAAAATATATTTATTGTGTTGCATAGGCAATTATTTAAAAATGGACCTAAAATTAGATGTAAAATATCTTAAATTAAACAAAAACTTTACTTTGTGAAAATGTTCCCAGGTCTACAGGTAAATAAAGTGTGTATTCATGCACTGTTTAAAAAAAAAAAAATTCACGAACTATGAAAATCATCAGTGGCATAAGAATATCATGACATGGGAAAATTCTGCTTCTTTAGTAACCAAGTTCTCCACTTGATGATTTTCTCTTGTGTTTTCAGTCAACCTCTCGTGGTGTGCAGACAGTGTCCAGGCTACAGGAGTGACATCAGTCAGGTCCTGTTTGCTACAGGTTCAAACTACTGGCTCCCTGGTCTGCCAGCTCCACCGCCAATACCTCCTCCACCCAAACCAGCAACTGAGGATGGATCTGCTAAACCCACAGGGGAGCAGCCCTCAACGTCCTCTGATCTCCCATCAGGTGATTATAAGTGTAGATTAGATTGGAAGATCAGTAGCTAAAGTTACACTTTTCACTCAATGGTACATTGCAGGGTACAGCATTCTGTTATAATCCTAATGCCAAAAACATTACAGTGTGTGTCTGCCTTCCATTTAAGATCTGCATGTCTTAGCTCCTGTCTCCAACCTTTTTCTGCTCCCGTTCTGTCTGCAGCTCCTCAGGAGTACCGCTGCCCCCCTCAGGGCTGCCATCTCATCTGCACCTGCTGCCTCCAGCCAATGCCAGACAGACGGGGCGAGCTAAACAGCCAGCAGGTTATTGCTCAACAATGTGAGTGGTCCCTGGGCTTGTTAGTACCTCTGCAGACATGTAATGTAATGTGGTTGATAAAATTATAGTCATTCAAATTACAGGTAACTACAGTGACATAGAAAGGGACTTGATATAGGAAATTTAAAATTCATACATTATATAAGTTAGTCAGGGCTTGTAAATTTAAATTGTGTAAGGCATAAAGACATATTTGATACACATACGCAGAGGTATGCAATACATGTAAAATCACCTGATACTTAAACTTTACCAACCATTCACATGCATTGTTGCACAAACTCCATTATGCACCTCATATACATGATGTGCTGTGTGTTGGCAGGTATGCTGTGCCAGCGACCCTTCTGTCATATGTACTGGGGTTGCCAGAGGATTGGCTGTCAAGGCTGTCTGGCTCGATTCAGTGGTATGTATCTGTTTCAGCAAAACAGCCCCAGGGGGATCTGCACCCTTAGGCTTATTGCTGGCTAGCAGGGTTCAACCAGTATGGTATTTTTTGGCTGATGCCAACATGCCTTTAATTAAAGAAGCTGATTCCTAAATAATGTCCAAATGCAGTATCTGAAATAATACATTTGCAGACTGGAAAAGTGATGAAACATATTCCTGCATGGGTTTTTTTTTTTTTTTTTTAAACTCAGCATTTCACAGCAGAATAAATGTTGGCGTTTTCCTTTTTATAACAGGTGCAGTCTAGAATCTGTATAATGTCTCAACATGTACGCATAAAATGTGCATCATATGTGCATCATAACCTGCAAACCTAAAAAACATCTGTGATTTAGCTGTCTCGGATATTTATCTGTTGGAGTTTGCTAAATGTTTTGTAGTTCGAATCCCCTTTTTGTTCTTTTTTTTTCAGAGCTCAATCTGACAGACAAATGCCTGGATGGTGTGCTAAATAACAACAACTATGAATCAGAGATCCTTCAGGTAAAGTGGACATGTCAAATATTCCAATGATATTATTATTATTATTATTATTATTATTTATTATTTTATTTTGTTGGTCCGTTATTTATTTGTATATTAGAATGCGTTGCTTGTTTAGATCAGTGGCATAGATGATGCTGTATTCTCGGTGGTTGGTTCTGACCGGGCCACCTGCTTCCAAACGTGTTTGCCTTCATCACGCTCCAAGACACTTTGGATCTGTGTCCACCAAACAGCTTGTGCCACTCTAAGCTAAATTAACTCTCCGAATTACAACATGTTAATTGCATCAACTAAAGCTCCTATAATTAGCAAACTTTGGACGCCACTTCTATATCTGCACCAACTCCTATGCATATGCAATGTTAAGTTGTTTTTGTTTGTGTGTTTCCATCCTTCCAACAGAACTACCTGTCCTCTAGAGGGAAGTCGTGGAGAGATCTGCACCAGGAGTCTTTGCAGAGCTTACAGCAGGGAAACTACTACCTGACAGGTGAGCCTGCAGATAAAAACCCAAGGCTCTTTTATTATTATTAAGTGGTGGATTTTGATACAGATACATTTGGAAGATCCACTGTGACACATTGCCTCGTTCCCTACCATTTAGCACATACAATGTCCAGACTGTCCTATTTTAAAAAAAAAAAAAAAAGAGTGAATATATCCTGTCCTTTTTAACTGACTCTGTCAGATTGTCGTATCTCTGCAAATGCCATCGTGTGCTTCTGCTGCGGCCTGCGAGCATTCAAGGAGCTCGCCTACAAGTACAGACAGAACATCACGCCATCTGAACTGCCAGGTCAGACAAACCCAAATTATTTTTTATAGAGCCATCTTTATTAGCATTTCAGCTTTTTACACATTAAGGGGTTACATTTATCCTAAATGTTTGTTGTACTCACGCAATAACTTCACTTAATGTTCTTTCCTCAGCTGCTGTAACATCTCGTCCTGACTGTTACTGGGGACGCAACTGTCGCACGCAGGTGAAGGCACATCATGCGACGTAAGTCTTCCTTTAAATCTGTTAGCTCTGACTGTACTTTGGACAGACATGACAGAGATGTGCTACGCATGTTGTTCACTTGTTTTACCACTAGAAGGAGTCCTTGTATAAATTTGGTCCTATAGTTCCTCATGTCTACTGTTTGTGTGTGTAAGATGCTTCATGCCATATCTATGGTTTTCATGTTTTTACAGGCAGCACTTAATCTATACGGTTTCTTTTCTTTACTTATATTTCAGGAAATTCAACCACATATGTGAGCAGACACGTTTCAAGAGCTGAAGGACCAGAGTGGTTTGTTTCTTGTGTCAAATGTAGATAACCGAGCATCTCATAGACATGATCTTATTAAGTTTTGTTGTCTGTTACAGCTTACCGCCTTCCAGATGTTATGCAATAACCTCATGCAGATATTACAATCAATATCCATTTACAATAGTGACCAGTGTCTTACTTGACACAGGGCTGTGTGAAATAATGCTATGCACAATAACATTAAAGTTCAATGTTTACTTAAGGTTTGAGCTGCTTTTTAAGTTAAGGCCTGTGAGGGCTTTTAACGCTAGCCACCATTTAAATTTAGATACATTTTGTCAGTGGCTCATGTCTGTCTACCAGGTAACCAACCACCAACTGTTAGAGTAATTTATTTGTTTGTTAAAAATGCTTCCTGATTTGTCCTCCAGCCTAGGTGACAAAAATGTTAGTTGTCTCAGATTAAGAGTGAGTGAGGCAATCTGTTTGGATTAAGGCCATTTATACGCTTACACATGGTGAGCATGTTTTTTATATATTTTCTTCTTCCAGCCTTGGTAATTTAGGCTAACAACACCAGATGTATATTTACCTTCTTTACTTGTGATGTATTTTACTAATCTTATGAAACGTAGAGTGAAGAATCCAGGGCTTCCTACAATATAATGCCGATGAAAACATCTATCACAGTTATTAGTAGCACCCGTTTGGGCCAAGAAATGAGTTGTTTCCATGATCCAACCTTTTGAACTATATTATGAAGTGAAAATGTCTCACCTCTAGGGACTTAGTGTGTTCCCAGGCGAGGCCAAAAAGCCACGTTAAAGCCCCACATACATACTAGGATAAATTCATAATCCCATGTGATATTTGTACAGGTTTGGGAAGGGGATCAATGTGTTGTAACACTGTCAGAGGGCATGGGGGCCTCTGTTGTATGCTTTGCTCTGGATAATCATCTCCATGGTGATTTAAAAAGTAGTGTAGAAAGGGACGCTTGCTCAGATCTTGTAGTAAGAGCTGAGCTGTGATAAAATGCACAGCTTTAGTCCATATAGAGAAGAAAAAATAGACTGCACTTCAGGCAACCTCTAACGGTTGAATATGCTGAAAGTGGTGCTGCTTTTAGTGGCATTGGCCCATGGAGTAGTTTCCATGTGCAGACGTCTGCAGGATGCACTTGCAGAACAGAGAATTGTGCCAATACAACAGTATGATCTGTTGTGTTCCAGTTATGTATAACTTATAGCTTACCTTGCAAGAATTTGGATAGAGGTTTATTCAAATGTTTTCGAGACATTAGTTGATCAGTGTGTGGTTAGATTTTCTCTGGTTCCTCAGGTACACAAAGCTGCTGTTTTAGCTTAACCATGTTTGTTGGTTAGAAAATGTCTGTGTCAACATGTAAGAGCTGTCACTGTTCAGTGACAGTGTAGAATCTAATGACTTCTCACCTATGACTATCATCACCCAAGTGTCAGTAAGTCCCCACCATGAAAACATGCACAGCTTGTATTGATGTCTACTAAAAAATCAAAATTGACAAATCAGCCATAGTTTCTAGCGTAGTCCAATAAGAACACCCAGACATTAGTTTCAAGAGGCCTTATATATTGGAATACGAGGATCATGTAGTAGTCTCTATTTTCCCCTTTTTTTTGTAGGATCACTATTATTCGTGTATAGAAAATGCTGGTGGGCATGTGAAGAATGTGGGTGTAGAAAATGTTAAAAGTGGGCCTTATCTTGCTATTTAGTACATTTTGTATAATTTCACACACAAAGGTTGGGCTTATTGTTCCATTTGTATTCTTTTTTTTTGGTGGCTTTAGAAGGATGCGTACTAAATGTCTAAAAATGTTTGTTTATTTTGTACAACTATGAGGATATTTGCACATAACTGTTCTCTCTCTCAAATGGAAAGTCTACAAGGTTATGATATGAACCCAACATCCTAGAGGAGCTGTCTTTATCCAGTGTATGTGATGTCAATACTCATAATATCTCATTTGTAATCATGTGAAGAGTTTAAATCCAAAATGACATATACATCAAAGAGAAGGAAAATATAACTTTTATCCTTGATTGTGCTGAATGTTAGAAGATTATATGCATTTTTGTTATCTAGTTCTTAGCATTACCCATAGTGAATATGGATACAGTGTGTGTTGTTTTGGAATTTAACTCTTCAATTTTTTCGTTGTGTTGTTGGGAAATTGGGGTTGTGAATGGGCCCTTTGCTAACCTCTGCCAGAGCTCCTGGCTTAATTTGTGGTATTAGCAAGGTGGTTTAGGTTTATTTTTCTGTGTATTTTTTTTTTTTTTTTACCTCTTCTATCACGGTGGGTCCACACTGGCATTCCTTAGCGGCTCAGGCCCTCAGCACAAACCCAGTCGATCCCCCAACAGAGTGGCTGAGTTTTAATTATTCCCTACCGGAGATCTTGGCACCATAAGCCAACAACAGTCCCAAGCCGCTCCAATCAGGAATTGGTATTAAAGAGGCTTTGGAGGAGTGCTTTGCATTCTCCCTGGGGTGGGGTATGTTGTATACTAAGGCAAATATTTACTCACTTTGTGTGCAAAAGTCTGGACCAGGCTGCTCAGCAGTATGGAAGAGGCAGGTTTCATTCTACCTCATCACAGCTCCCAGTAACATGGGAGACTGAACAGGCATCAATCACCATCAGTTCAAAGCTGGGAAAGCATCCGCTATATGAGGGATGGAAGTCCTTGCTAGTGCCTGTAAACTTTGTATGCAATGCACTATTTGGACAGATTAGATTATCTAGACTATAATCAGCTTCTACTAGAATAGCACTAGGCACATGTATAGTTTTGTGAGGACAAATACATTTGATATATGCCTCTTTACCCTGTATGTTACCCTGTACGTTGTATTAGCAATGCTGAAATTGTCTTTGAAATGCGTATGGATCTGATTTGCTGTTTTATCTTAACAAATTAAAAGACTGATTTAGCTTTCTGTAGTAACCGATTTGCTTTTTTTTTTTTTCCAATACCTTCAAGTCCCTGTCCACTTAAAAATGTGTTCAGCTTAATGGTACTTCACTTGGGTGCTTCACTGCGCACAATGATGCATGTGCAGAGTTTGACACTAGACGGCTGTTTTCACATTCATCTGCTAATGGTGGAAAGTTGCTGGCAGCGAAGTAGAAGACATGGCAGTGAAATAAAACAAGTTGCATAGTTATAATAGATTCTGGATTTCTCATGAGTATACATGTGTCACTTATTGTAAATAGAGTAAAGCCTTATTTTTTTCTTCCTTTGCATTTGTATTGCCATCTTTCCTGAAGAATGAGTGCTGGATTAAAAAACTCACAAGATCCTGTGATTCCAGAATGGCAGTTTTTTTTTAGGTTCCTATTGATTGTTTAACATCTCGAATCAGATCAAGGACACAACATGTGAATGACATAACCTTTATTAAAACTTAACATTAATTCATAACTCATTTTAAATACTATGATTGCTAATTATCTTTTTTATACTACATAATAGTGTAAATTAGTACTCTATATGCTTTTACTCACTGTTATGATTTCCCTTTTATAATCCAGTATGAGCCTTAGGAGTACATACTGTATGCATACACTGTTGCAACATTTATATTAATGTACGATCTATGCTCTGCAGAACACTTTTGGGTAATAAGTAATTGTATAAGCATTTATTAGCCTGTGCTAAAAAAAAAAAACACATTAAGGAAAAAGCAGGAATCTGGCACAAGGCAGCACAAAATCCACAATGAATGAGCTACTGAAAGCAAAGTGCAATGGTTGGAGTATTGTAAATAGCGTCAAACTGGTTAATAAATCTGGTTAAAAAGTGCTCCTAAGAGTTTGGGGTTATGGAATACTCACTCAGAAAATACTTTTTTGTTCATGTTGGCAATCAGTCATCTTTTTTTTAACAAATAATACCACAGCAGTCAGTGCCTTGGCTTAGTAAGCAGCATATTATTCCATCTTTGTCATAACACAACTTTATAAAAATAGAAAACAACTAGTGAAAAGCAGGAGGCTACAGTATATGTAGTAATCATTTTGTAAAAGTTGATTTCAGATGTTAAAGAAGTAGGTTATATATTTCAGTGGCACTAACAGAGTTCAGAAATGCATAACTGGCCCACCAGAGTCCCTGCTCTTTTCTCCAACTTAAAGCCCGTCTGGTCACATCTGGTTGATCACACTGCACAGCACTGTGGACTGACTGAGAGACGGCTGGCTGTCACTGACTGTGTTTGCCTCGGTCATGGTGTTAAGCGCGTTGGAAGGGAGTGGACCAACCCCTCCTGACACCTGGCTACCCCATGGCCTCCACTCTGGTCTGGCCCTCTGGCTCTGGGGACTGAGGCTGGTGCTTCCAACGACAGGCCTTTTCCCCTCATGTGTCCCCTTAACCAATCCATTCAGCACGGTGGAGGCAGAGGTCTGGTCCAGGTGCTCAGCTGAGACCAGAGGCTGCCGGTCCTCCTCCTCAGAGATTGCAAACACCGGCACGCTGATGTGATCGCCCTCACCTGGGAACTCGCGCCTCTCACTCTGACACTGGGTAGAGGAAGAAGACCCAGGGCTGTGTTCAGATGGTGAGCCCTGGGCATGAGGAACCCCGGAGGCCTTTATTGGGTCTGCCGTCCCAGAGAGAAGGCCAAAGCAAGGCCCTGTGAAGCGCGAGCGGCGCAGGTTGCTGGTGGAGTTGAGACGACGTTGCCTCTGGGCAGGCTGCGTAAGGGGGTAGGAGGCATTGCTGATGGATGAGTCAGAGATGGTGCTGTTGTCTGCCTTGGCCTCCAGGTGAACATCAGAGAAGACCTTCCTGCTGTCAGCCCCTCTGCAGTCAGCTACCAAACTGGATGGAGCCTGCAATGATATAAGACTGTTTGTAGACCCTCAAGACTTTTACAGACATTTAGACTGGAGAAAAGGCAATTCTGTAATTAATTACACTAAAGATGGCTCCATTCCATTCAACTGTCCCAGTAAGGCCGCCAGTGAGCCAGCAGGCACAATATCAGGACCCTGTAGCCATTTTAATGTTCTAAATCATAGCTGTGCTTTTAATGCTATAAAAAGTAATTGTGATGTGTGTAAATGCTATTCTGCATGCCCCAAAACAACAAGAAAATACTACTGTTGAATAAAAGAAGAGGAGGTTTTGATAATAAATATACAGCTGTGTCGATGGTGATTTCGGAAACAGAGCTTGTTCCTGCTATTGAAATCATTTCTCCCTAAAATCTAGTTTTCCCTAAATCAATGGAACAGATAACAGGATAGAATAATCTGTCAATTCAAATGAAATTTCAACAGTTTCAAGAATTTTCTTAAAGGGGCAGTTCACCCAAATTACCAAAAAACATTTTCTTACTTACTCCTGGTGGTATCAACAAATAAAATCCAACCTATTTCTATGTGTAAAGGTTTTGAGAAATCCATATCTGGAATTTCTACATCCAACTCGGTAATGTATGAAAAAATCCATCACTTGTCTTTCGAGACCCGATGTCCTGGTTACTCTAGAGAACACTTGTTTTATTGATAATCAAAACTAACTGCATTAATAAAGTAGGAAGTCAGTTTTTCTTTTAAGTCAAGTAAGTAAACTTTACAGAGACGAGATCATTTACTGTAAACAAATGAAATCATCATTCGACACACTCCACTGACCACTCCTCATCACATGCAATGAACAGTCCTGGGTGTGAAAACATCAAAAGGTTTTAGTACTGACGCTGTCCACCAGCTTGGTGAAGGGACTAGTGGAGTTCCAGCTGCACCACTTCTTATGCAGCTGTGGCAGTGGAGGGAGGAAGTCCTGGAAGGTGCGTACGCTCCATGCTCTCGGCCTGGCACCGCTGCCGTCCTTGGTGGACCTGGCACTAGAGGGTGACGTGGTGGAGTCTGGTGAGGGCCAGTCACCTGCAGGGCTGGGACCAGTGTCACTGTGCCGCAGAAACCTCTCCCGCCGCTAGGAGACACAGAATGCATAAATGTATAAATTAAAATGTGTAGTCCAGGCCTGTCTGCAGAGGGCTTTTAACATAACATACCCATTAGAAGCTATATCATCAGCTGGGTCTTCAGCTGTCTCAGAAGACTATATTAAGAGGTGCTTAAAAAATGCTAATTTTGTCCATGATGTATATGATCCCCCAGCTGCTCAGTGTCCAGAAGCAAAGACTGTGGTTCCACATGTGAAAATGTGTTCACTTGTGAATACCAAGCAAGAAAGTGCTGAAGAAATACAGTTTAGCTTTGGTAGAACAAAGGCTAAAAAACACGAGTATCCTAGAAAGTATAAACAACCTAATTAGGGATGAAGACGGCTCACATATAAGAGGTGGCATTATGCTCAAGTACTCAACTGCAGCTGCAATGGTCAATGACCTGCACAGAGCAGCAGGCTTGTTATTGAATCATGCACGCATCTTTGGTGTTGGTATTTGGTATATTTCATTTGAAGCCAAGCCAAGAGACGAAAGTTGGTTGACAAAAATAAAAATGTATCGCTGCATGCAAGAATCTAGTAGTCGGGGTAGGAATATTGGGAACTGACCGGCTGCCAGTCTGCTGGTTGCACCTGCTACATTACCTCCTCACACCTGAATTTCTCCCTGCAGATTGTGTTGTGTACTACATTTATGGATTAACAAGACCGAACAGTGCTGATTAGCTTGGCCCGCTCAGTCACACAGCCAGCCAGCCAGCTAAGCGCGTGTGGCTCACGTACTGATCTCAATCATTATTTATTAAGTATATTAAAGCTGTCAAGAGAACAGCAGGGGCTTTGGAACGTGTTGTGGTGTTGTGTATGCACCACTCTTACCATCTGAACTGTACAATACAGGTCCAAACAAATGTCTGTTTGAGAGAAACTGTACTGCGACTGCGAAGTCATATTTACTTGAGCAACCAGGAGAGGTTAATTGTGATTGTGACAGGTTAGATGTGCAAAGTGCATGTTATCCTCGCTGATCGGTCAGCTGCTGTTGATCAGGGGAGGGGGAAGGTTTTAGGGGTTGCAACCATCAGACACAGAACGAGTCCAGATAATCCTTCAGAGTCACTAGCAGCTAGCTTTGTCTAGACAAGAATTAGCTAGGGGTTTAAATAAAATGTTCTTTTGGTTACTTAAGCCCCACAAACACAATGGCAACTTTTAGATTTGACACACGAGGTGAAAAATCAGCCACCAAACACAATCACTCACAAAGTGTGGTTCCAAAGGTGGGGTCTGAGACCCTTAATGGCTGCTTGGAGACACTCAATATATGCCCCAGACAAAAAATTACAAACAGCTGAAATAGGTCAGTATTAAGTTTTGGATAGCGAGGAATGTACAATAGCATTTTGATCCAGACTTCTCTGTCTTTATCTCATCACCCGGCCTACAGCAAGAAAGGTTTTAAAGTCTCCTCATTGCTTTACTGTAACAGAACTTAAGCTCCTCCTAAGAGAGGTTGTTATAAATAACAAAAACATTATTAATACGTGTTCATATTTGAGGGTGTCTGGCATGAAAATACCTCGCTAACCTGCAAGTTTACCTGGCAATGACATCGAGAAGATAAATTTGGCATTTTTCAGTGCCATCATTAGACCAAGCAACATTTGTCAAACATTATTTACATGGACATCTGCATTGAGGACACACACAGGCAGACCACACACTGTGTGCCAAAGCGCACATGACACACACACACACAGACACAACCACACACACACACACACACACACACACACAATTGGAGCTGGGAATCTGGCTCTGTAGATAATACTCCATTAGCCTAGGCTGCAGAAAAGCTTGCCAGTCCTTCAAAAAGCTGCCAGAGCTGTTTTATGCCAACACTTATTCCAAGAGAATACAAAAGAGAGAAGAGAAAAAAATGCCTGGTCGAACTGTTGCTTCTTCCTCAACGCTCCTCCCATCTTTTTAATTATCCTCATTTCCCATTTATGTCCTCATAGTTTTCATAGTTTTAGACTGTACTATGCGTACGCCAATAAACTGGTGTCAGTCTTATTAGGAACACTGGGTCAATTCAAAGCACTGAATGCCCCGTCACCTCTGATGTTCATTGGTTCAGGTATCATTTCCCTAAAGCGAGGAGATCACCCACTGAGAGTTTGGCCTCAAGATTAAAAAGACATTTTCACTGTTCACTGTATAGCTACGTTCAGATAGAGAGAAGTCTGTCTCAGGCAGAGTGTTGAAGTTACACCATTGGTCTGTCGAGTGTTGCCAATTATCACTAAACACAGTCTACAGCTGATGCTGATGGGAATGCTGCAACGTATTGGACAAATGTAACTGATATTGTCAC